CTGGTACGGCATCTAATCTTTACAATACTCCCGAGGGAGGGTGTATTGGTCCCATTTTGAAGAACAGCAAACTGAGTTTCAAAGTCTAACTTGAATGATGTCAAAGATCTGGAGTCAGTACCAAGGTCTCTTTTTTCTATTGGTCACTCTAGTATTTCTCTCTTAAAAGGGAATGTCAGGCTCTATAGGAAGGAAAGATATTGGATGGATGCTTTAATCTAAGTCTAAGCTCTGACTTGAAACTAAGAGTTATTGACAAAGCCACTTTCCCTATTTAGACTGTGGTGTTCTTTCAGCTGAAAATCAAAGGATGGGAGTGGGTGGTCTCCAGATATTTCACACCCTCTATACCAGTGGTATTTAGGTATTTGGGACAGGGAGACCTTCTCTCATGCCTTCATTATATTGTTTTCCTTGGTCACATCATCAGGAACCATAAATCCCACTCACATTAAATGTTGAGAAAAGAACATGGTCAAGATACTCCAGTGGGCAGTGCTCATGACTCATTTTAAAGAAAGCGATCGGGAATACACCATGCTATGGGTGGCTTCTTCAACATAGGAGAGTTTGCAGAAACCTCACAGGTGTCCACAGGCAGACCTCGCACTTTAGATAATAGAGAATGGGGTCCTGGCAGATCAGTCAGAGAGCAGGTGGCTTTTTAAGGAAGATGAGAGTATCAGTTACATGATTCATTCAACAGCTAGTCATTGCCTCTTATGTGCCAGGCACTATTCTAAGTTCAAGGGTATCCTAGCAAACAAGATGGAAAAAAAACCTGTGCCTTCCTAGGCAGGAGGTTGTGTTCTAGCAGGAGATACCAGATGAGCAAGCAAATATACATTTCGGGTGGTGACAGTGCTTTGGAGGAAAACTGCACCTTTTCAGAGGGTGGTGACTCCAGGGTTAGGGGAAGGTATGGTGTTCCAAATAGTACCGTCAGCAGGGGCCTCTCTGTGATGGGGATTTTGGAGCCAAAACAACAAAGCTTTTATTCATGGAGTGATCCAGGAATAAGCATTCCAGTTGAGGGTATAGCAAGAATAAAGGCCTGGGCTTAGGATGCAACCAATCCAAAAGGAAACCTACAGGCTCTGGGAAGAACAATACAGTTTCAAGGGAACACAGAATATCCAGACCCAGTGGAAAGACCCTCACTCTGGGAGTTTTCACTAACGACCCACCCACAAACAGTTCTCAGCCCAAGAACAGCAAACTTATTTTATTTTAATAAAATTGTCTGTATTTAAGATGTAAATTATGATGTTTTGATATATATATGGGAAAATGATTAATTATATATCCATCTCTTTACATAGTTACCTTTAATGAGAGCACCAGAAATCTCTCTTAGCAAATTTCAAGTACACAATACGGTATTATTAACTATAGGCATCACCCTATACATTAAATATTGAGAATGTATGCATCCTACAAACTGCAACTTTGTATCTTTTGACCAGCATCTTCCCATTTGCCCCACCTTCCTGCCCTGATAACCACTGTTACACTCTCTGCTTCTGTGAATTCAACCTTTTTTCTATTCCACATGTAAGTGAGATCATCCAGCATTTTTCTCTTGGGGCATAGCTTATTTCACTTAGCATAATTCCCTCCATGTTCATCCATGTTGTCACAAATGGCAGTATTACCTTCTTTTTAAAGGCCATATAATATTCCTCTGTGTGTGTGTGTATCAATTTCTCCATTAGTTCATTCATCAACAGACACTTAGGTTGTTTCCGTATCATGGTTATTGTGAGTAATGAATCAATGAGCAGGACAGTGCAGGTATTCAAGTACTGATTTCATTTCCTTTGGATATATACCCAAAAGAGGAATTGCTGAATTATGTGGTAATTCTATTTTTAATTTTTGGAAGAAACTTCATATTGTTTTCCATAATGGCACTACCAATTGGATTCCCACCAACAGTGCCTAAAAGTTCTCTTTTCTCCACATCCTTGCCAACACTCTTATCTTTTTGGTCATACCCATCCTAACAGGTGTGAGGTAACACCTTGTTGAAGTTTTGATTTGCATTTCCCTGATAATTAATGATGTTGAGTGCCTTTCATGTGCCTATGGCCGTTTTTATGTCTTCTTTGGAAAAATGTCTATTCAGGAACTTTGCCCATTTTTTAGTCAAGTTGTTTTTGTTTTTTGTTTGTTTGTTTGTTTGCTATTGAGTTGTATGAGTTTCTCATATTTTTTAGATAGTAACACTTTATCAGATATATGGTTTGCAAATATTTTCTCCCATTGTAGGTTGCCTTTTAATTTGTTGATAGTTTCTTTTGCTGTGTAGAAGCTTTTTAGTTTGATGTAATACCACTTGTTCATTTTTTTATTTTGTTGCCAGGACATCAATTTTAAATACGAACACAAAGGACCTGGTCATTGACTTTCATTTACTGGGCAAGTTGAAGGGCTCTACTGAGTTCCCTTGGGTAGAAAAACATAGAACAATCCCCTTTGGAGACCAGAGGTGATGTGTGTTTAAGTAATAATAATCCTGTGAAAGAGCAGGAAGGAAGATCCCGGAATTTGTTTAACTAGTAGCCTGGAAACTTCTCATGTGGCAAAGTTACAGGGGTTGGTGGATTAATTAGAATGTCACAGAACAGTTTAGGAGGATCATTTGGGGTATAACCTTCATTCCTGGGCTGATAACTACTTGTGCCAGTGTTTGGATTTTTAATTTGTTTAAAGCTGTGTAGAATAATGGGGGAAAATACTGGGCTTTGAGTTGAACAAATCAGAGTTGGAAACTTGGTCCTATCACACACCAGTGGTATGACCTTGAGCCTGCTATTTTCAACTCTCTGAGGCTTAGTGTTTCTCTGTAAATCTTATCTAATTATGCCTATTTTCAGAGTGGCTAGGAGGGAAAAGCAATGTATATAAAGGATCTGGTATATGGTAATTACCCAATTAATGGTGACTATTGTTATCCAACATGTATCTATTCCATATATCTATGAACTGTAATGTGCCCTGCATGGAGGCATGTGGGGAACATAAAGGTAAAGAAGGCATGATTTCTGCCTTCTAGAAGCTTACTCGTTAAGCTGTGAAGATGTGTGCTCAAGTGGCTGTCATATAACATAACGTAAGAGAAAAAGGACTGTAAAGACACAAAAATGGGAGAGATTTCCTACAATTCTGCTTGAAGAAGTTTTCTGGGAGAGTTTTAGGAACTTGACAGGCAGAGAGGGTAAGGAAAGGATTTTCCAGATAGATAGTGTTTTCAACAAAGCTTGGAGATGGAGAAGCTCAGAGTGAGTTTGGGAGAAGGAAGCTGAGCTGTCAGGTAAGGCGAGGTACTGAAGTTATGACAGTGAGGTGCAATTCTCAAGATGGTACCAGATCATAGAAGGACCAGGATGCTGTGCAAAGGAGCTTGGCCTTTATTCAGGAGGGAAATAAAGAGCCACGGAAGGTTTTTTTTAAGGGAATGACAAAGGGAGGGCTACATCCTAGAATGACTAATTTGGCAACCCTGTGGTTTGAATAGAGCGTGGAGAGACTTGTGATAGAAGTAAGAGCTAGTAGTGACTGAGCTCTCCCTCTGTTCTAAAAGCATTATTCACTAATTCTCTCAACAGTATAATGAAAAAAGTGCTTTTATCATCACCCTTTATACAGATGAGCACATTAAGGCATAGAGATGTTAAGTAACTTACCCAAGGTTACACAGCTAGTCAGGGATCCTACACCTGAATCAAGGCAGTCTGGCTCTGGAGTCCATACTCTGAACCATTACACTATATTGCCTCAAAAGTCAGCCAGGAGTTAGGGGTGACTGCCTCCTACCTTGCTTTGCCTTTGTCTGATCTTTCATGCTTTTTCTTGGCCCTAAGTTTGTTCATCTATGAAATAGGAGACTTGGATTGGCTTTCTGAGATGCTTTCTAACTCTGTTTTTTGTTTGTTTGTTTTGTTTTGTTTTCAAAATTCTGTATTTTAATGTAGACCTGATCTATTTGAGCAGCAAAGGGGGAGAGGTGAATGAAATGACTGTGCAGGATAAAGACAGAAACTCCAAAGTTTTGTTTCTGATTTTTTGTTGTCGTTGTTGTTAAACTTTTTCTGCCTCTCGATTTACTTAAATCAATTTTAAAAAAAAGTATTGGAGGTACACATTGAAAAGAAGTATTTATTTCAGTGTATCGAGTGGCGGTGAGCTAACGTATAAGGTACCTGCTAAACTCTAAAATTTACCGATGTTAAGAATATTTATTAGTTTGTTGTACTCATGCTCTGAAGCAGTGTGATAGATATTACTCAAACAAGAATATTAGTTCACAATGACTCAGACCCAGCCCTAGGATAAGGCAACTTATTGAGAAGAAAATAAATCCTGGTCGAGTCTCTAAAGCCTCATTTCTCTCTGCGCTCAGCTAGTTGGGGCAAAATGCACACTTGCTTTTCCTGACTAGTAAACAGTGTTTCTGGAGCCGCCGAATCCAAGCTGTCACTCAGCCTCTCTCGGCATTTTCAGGTTTCTCTTCCTATTTCAAGATGCGGTGTTCCGTAGGTCTCTGCAGCCGGAGTCCTGCCCTTGCTTAGTTTCCGTTTCCAAGGCAACTGACCAGCCCAGAGAAGCCTCCGGCGGGCGCGCTGGTCCTGGAGCCTCGGAGCCATCACTGATCACTGCCGCGCGTCGTCTTTCCTCGGGACCGTCCTGGTGACCTCGGGGTCTTCGGTGATCTGCGTGTTACTTCATGCGTGGCTGTCTCTCTGTGTAAGAGTGGTAACAAGGAAGCCGATAATTCTGACAGGCCCCACTTAATCCGGCTGCCGCTCCTTGCCTCTGCTACACTAGACAGGATGAATGCATTTCTCTTATTCACGCCCTTTCTCTCAGCCTCTCCATCTCCTCTCCTTTGCCTTCTCTCTCTGCCCCCCCCATCGTCTCTCTCTCTCTCTCTCATCCCCCCCCCCCCCCTCTCGCAACCTCTCCTCCTCCCCTTCTCCTCTGGCAGAAGCCTTCTTAATGTAGTTTAATGGCTTTACAAAGAAAGCCAGGCAGAGGAGCTCTTCTCTCTGGCTGTGGTCGGACCATGACCTAGCTGACCATGAACTTGGAAGGGCTTGAAATGATAGCAGTTCTGATCGTCATTGTGCTTTTTGTTAAATTATTGGAACAGTTTGGGCTGATTGAAGCAGGTTTAGAAGGTAAGGGAGTGCTTTTTAGTGACTTCTAAAAATTCTGTTTTGCAATAAATTTTCTTAAGTGAATGTGAAAGGCATCTGAAATGAGATCAGAGAAATATTACTCTGGGGTGGACATGAAGACAGGCAGGTTTGTCAGAGTAGGGCAGATGAATAAAATAAACTTTTTGTAAGTTTCAGTAGCGTTTTCAGAGCAGAACATTAAAACTATGAGAAACACTTTGAATCAAAATGTGAGAACCAAAACTGAGGAAATTAAAGGTTAATCATTGGTATGTCTGTTATATTGAGAGCATCTAGTCCATGTCGATGTTAGATTTCTTTTTAATCGAATATCCCCTTTTATTGCGTGAGGAAATTTTATTTGGGTATGTTGTGAGGTCTATTTGTTTGTTGCTATGCAAATGCATTCATCAAATGAAAATAGATATACATTTATTATAATTTCTTATGGTTTAAGATTAGAGCCTAATTATGACAGGCTTTTTGTAAGGTTGTCTTGAGAAGTATTTATAATATTACCTCTTCACATTTCAATGTAGAGTGTAAGGGGCAGAGTCCCCAACTCATGACAGATTTTAACATAGATTCCAAATGGCCAGTTGTATTTCAAGTGCTGCTGTGTATATTCATCAGAGGCTCATTCTCCTATTCTCCCTAGCAATCATCTCTTTCTTAAAATAAAAATAAGCTGTGTTCTTGCCTGTATTTTTCCTGAATTAAATGTTTCTTTGAGAATCTGTGTAAAGTTAGGTTATTATTTTCTTAGTGCCCAGAACACATTTGAAAGCATGTTTGCATACAGTTAGTTATAGTTTCTCTAAAGTTGTCAGAGCAATTTTAAAAAGCATCCCTAGTTGTTATGTGATGTAGTTATGCTTTGATATTCGTGTTGCTTCAAATTTTAAACTTGAGTAAAAATGCAAATATGTTTTAAATGTATTTACGTTCACAACTAATCCAGTCTTCCAGAGGAAGACTATCACATGTGACATTATTGCATTTACAAATAGCAAACATCAAATTACAGTTAAGTGTGTCACTCTGATGTAGGTTATCAGAAACCTACATTCGTAACTCGTTGTGGGGTAAGGGATGGTAGAAAGCAAGGTTTTTAAAGTAAGTTTGCAGAATGCTCTTTTAGAGCCCTCAGTGATAGAAACATGTATAGTGCTAAAAAGAAAATAAATTCTAAATTCTGAAAGTAGTGACTGTTCTTTGAAATTAATTTTATCTGGTTCATCGTGATAAAACCAGTAACCTGGTTTGGCTTTTCTGTTCTTTACTGTGTTATTTTACCTTGCAAATGTGACAGGGACCTCCCATTTTAATGGACTGGTTTTTGGTTTTTGTTTTGTTTGGTTTGGTTTTTTTTTTTTTTTTTTCTGAGTCTGAGAGTAACATGGAAGAGTGTATTTCTAGCCATGTGGAGGGACTTGTTTTACCTGATTTCATCAATGGTGTGTGGTCATTCTTTAAACTCTTTTGTTGAGGGCTTTTTCTCTGGATTTTGGAATCAAATCTACTGTATTATTAGTTTTGTTTCAGGAGCACAAGCATTTACTTTCCCAAATGAGACCGTGTGTTTCCTTCTTCTAAAGGCTTCTAACCTTTATGAAACTATTTTTTTTCCTTTTCCTGATTACTTATATTCCAAATTGTATTGATTTGTATGAACGGTTTCTTTCTTGTATTTTATATTTTGCAATGTCAGCATTTTCCAAGCTAAGACTGTACTAATACTATGGAAAGAATGTGTTGTCTAGTAAACTTCAGTAAAAATTTATATCTGATTTATTTCCAGCATTTTTTTTAGAAAAGGTATTTTAAAATAGTAAAATGTTGATAACCACACGAAGGAGGAATTATATTTAATTTGCAAAAGTTGATAGAAACAGAGAGCAATAGTGCTTTCCATTTTGAAGTTTGTGGAAGACTTATTTCCAAAGTGAATGTTGGAGTCAGAAAACCTTCAAAATAAGATTTAAGTTGGCCACATACTTTGCTTACTGGAGATATAAAGCAAATGAATAGACTGAATTGTTATATTTTATTGTATGTGGTTTGAATCTATAGATCAGAATATGCACACTCTGAAGTTATAGCCTAATATTAATTAATGAAAACAGTAAACAGTATTTAATATCAAAATAGCATCTTCATAGATTTTCTGGAACTTTATTAAAAACAAACACTGATGCTCATTTCATTCAGATTTATTTTCACATAGGAATTTCCTTCCTTGCCCACCATTTTACATATCTAAGTTGGGGATAATGATTTCTTTCACCTTTCTCCGTTCTGGCTGTTCAAGAGTCGTGTTAAAGAAATATGAGTATTAAGTAGAAAGATGTGAACCTAAGTTAAAGTCCTGTGAGGATGATTTTGAAATTTTTTTCCTAAACAATTACATCTTTTCTCCTAACCTTATAACTGTTCTACAGCGTAGGTATCATTCAGAATGTAGTGTTTTTTTCTTTTTGTATTTATATGTAATATGCATTGTGTTCTCAAGGGCATATATATAATACTATGTTTGCAGAATGTAGTTACTATCTTGCCTCAAATATATAGAGAGTAAATGGACTTCAAAATAAATTGGTAACATTAAAGTCTGAAATATTTGTTTTCGGTTGTCTTTGAGTACTTTGAGCTCCCATTCTTTGTAGAGGAACTGGGGATTAGGTCCTGGATGTCCTGGGTCCTTCTGTTCCAGTCTCTGTGTGATGTGCATAAACACGTAATGCTACATGTAGGCCCATGGCATAGATTTATAAACAAAGCGAGTTGCATTTAGCAGGTGACATTATTTAACATGAGAAAATAAAAACAACAATAGGAATAAAGTTTCTTACCCCTCCTCTGCCACTCTCTTGTTTTCTAACCTCGGATAAGCCACCTTATGTCTTCAGTTGTCTAAAATGGGAAAACTGGACTGGAAAATCTCCATGGGACTTTCCATTTCAAAAAGTTTATGAGTCTATCAGATATTAAAACTTGGTCATTTCTAAATACATATCCTTTCTTATGAAATAGGTATCAATGGCCACTTGGGAATTGATATGCAGTGCAGCTTGAGGCTGATCTTTCCTCCTCTTCCGTAGTGGGATAATTCATCATACTTCAAGGAGATTTTCATTGTATTTCAGGAGAATAGAGAAATGTCCTTTCCTGTAGCTCTAGACTTTGATATTTGGGACTGCTATTTTAGGCATCCTTGTGATAGAGTTTTTCAAAATTTACACGGAGTTCCAATAACAAATAAACACATCATGTTATGATTTACTAACATTTCAAAGGTCAGTTGTTTTGTTTTTTGGTGTTTGTTTGGTTGGTTGGTTTTTGTAATTCAGTTAAATTTCAATAATTTTTCTTTTTAAACAAAGTAATCTTAATACCCGGTCAGTATGCATACAGATAATAGTTTCAGCTTGAGCAGTTTTGAGCCTATCACACAATGCCAGAGTTTTGAATTCATAAGCTCTCTCTTCTTAACGAGGAGTTTAGGAAGCTCCACAGTTATGCTGGTTTGGAAAACTCCTAAAACCTCACAACAATAAATTGCCTCTTTTCCAGCTATAAAAATGAAAGTGGTTTTCTGTAAACACATTCCAGGGAGAAATTGAATCAAAATTTTAATGGCAAAGCTATTTCATTATCTCTATATGCAACACTGGGCTGTGAAAATATCTACTTTTCATCCAAATACGTATTAAATCATGCTGAGGTAGTTACTGAATTAAGAAAGAACCATCCTTCTCCCTACTACCAACCTTAGTAAAAGGCAAGAGTGTACAAGAATGCAATAACACACATGACTTGAAAAAAATCACTTTAATTGGTAATTGTCTTCAATAAAAAGACAAAAAGAAATCAACTGATAATCTAAGTCCTTTGTAGAATGAACATGCATTAGAATTTCTTTTGTATTTATTCAGCTCACTTTATTTATCAGGTATCTGTAATACTGTAATGCAAGCTTCAAGAGGCCTAAACAAAGTATTAGCCATATACACAGAGATGGATCTTTGGAACCAAAGTTCTTAATTCTCCTGTGCTGTTGACGGAAGTGTGGATATGTTGGGTCTGTTAATAAATTGGGTCAACTGGAAAACAGTACTGACTATGTGTACATTTCATGATGTCTACTGAGGACCAAGGGGCTGGAGATGCCTGGAAGGGGGCTATTATTTCTATCTCAAATAGATTGTTTGAAAATCATAAAGCAGACTCTTTTTTTTAAATTCTCCTGGCATTCCGCTTTCCTAAATGCAATGGTATTCCAAAGCTGATGGGTATTTGAATGATCAGAAAAGTTTTTCCAAACTGTAATGCTTAAGAAATATAAACATAATTTATGGTGACATTGTAAAACTGAAGCATACTTTTTACACCACTTAGAAATGGAATATCAGGAATATTTATACCATTTGAATTTCTTTAGGGTCTTTTATAGTTAATATTTCCTTTATGTCAAGAATATTAATGTCTAAAAAGTGACTAAGGAAGAGGACTAAGTATATTCAGAGCCTTAGTATATTCTCACACTTAGAGACAAACAAAGATAAGATGATTTATACTGGAGTAGGATTTTGGAGTAGGTGCACCCGCAATGATTTAGAGCATAACACAAGCCTCAATGGGGTTTGAAGCTTGATCAGGATGATCATTGACAGAAAACACACTCCAGCCTTTATCAACAGATATAGAGCAGAAGGAACACAGATCATTCTAGTTACAGGGAACAGAGGGCAACAGAGGAAGAAAGTTTTCCTTAGATGAGGATCTTTAAGACAAACAAGGTGAAAGGAGGGTTACCTATGCCATGCCCTGGAATAACCATACCAACCAGACCAGTTTGCAGGTGTTCGTTCTGGTTTACTGGTGGAGAAAGTGGAGATTCAGAAAGGTTAAGACTTCGCTCAAAGTCACAAGGGAATAAGTGAAGGAATCTGGGTTAGTTCCCATATCTTCATGGTGGCAATGGTCCAGATGGTGTTCAC